GATACATCATGCCGCTAATCCGGAGAATATGAATACCATCGCGTTTGTGTGATGTTTTTAGGCGTTCTTTTCTGTATTGAGTGTTCCGTTCCCTTACATGTATTTTCTTTTCTAACATCTCATAGCACATGTCGTACTTTCATTGTGAAGACAAAGAGGACTTCGTTTTTTGCAATTTTGGGAAGCCACCTCATGCCGAGCCCTGATAACTAGACGAAAATATACAATTTTGAAAGTGACTTTGCACTAAAAAGTATCTTAAACAATGAATCACTTTCCTAAACTCGCATTCAGCGTTTTCAAGATCAGCTATAGCAGATGTCTGGCATGAAGTTAATGGATCAACCAAAAAGTGCCATTCAGCAATGAGGGTGAGATACCACAATTTTTTTCGATCAGTGATGAAGCTGGGCAGTCCATACTTACATCAACAACTTGTACCTCTTCTTTTCTCGGCATTTTAGTCATTTCTCGTTGATCGCTATAGTTCTTGGAGAGTTTCTGCATGAGTGCTTCCTAACGTCAAAAACTTTGACAACATCAAAAAAGTTGACATCCTTATTTTACAGGGAGCAGTAATCTTAGTTTTTCTTCTAGTGGAATTTCGCCTCGAGGCAATTTAATATCTCATTTGGCATTTTAATAGTGTCTGTACACTCCCAACTGGCGGCATGCTTTGTCCGCCGCACACAACTGCGCGCTTCTACAGGACTGCGCCGCCATTGAGAACCTTTTAAGAACTGTAAATAGGCGGAGCGGAAGGGAGAGCTGGTTAAGGAACAGATATAGATTTGGAATGTTGAAAAGTTTGCGTAAAAACAACAGGGAGGTAAAAATATTATGATTTTGTTTTCTCTGGGCCCCCTCAGGTGGCTTGCTAGATAGCACGTGCAATAAAACTTGGAATAAAAAGTTTGCTAGGCCTTGAAATCATACAATTCTTTCACGAATTTCCACATATTGTCTCAACTTTCTGGCTCATGCTACCGAAGCTACACTGAGGCTCGTAAGCAGGGTCAAGAAAGGGGTGTGGCACACGATCGCTGGTTACGACCCCCCCCCCTTGATTGCTGTCTTGATAAGACCCCCCTTAACAATATACCTAAGATAGCATTACTTGAAGGTTCTGTCAAACATAACGGGCAATATATCCATAATTAGGGTGTCATTTAAACCCCTGTAGACAAAGTTCGCGCCAATTCTGAAGATTCAAGATACTAAGTCACCTAAGTGAAATGATTTTCAATCATTTCACTTAGGTGGCTTCATTTTAATCATTTTCAACATGATTAACTTTGTTTTTACTCCTTCTTTATCCAAATCAGGAATCCCGCTCCAGAAGACCTCCAAACTGTGGAATTAGAAGCCAACCGAAATCACATTTTTCCCATTTTTCGTTATTGATGGCTGCGCTTTTAGCAAATATTACTCAGATTAAGAGGACGAATCAGGCTTAAAACATTCCTATGGAATCTACGAGGCTTATGCTACCGATTCATATAAATACTGTTCGCTAAAAATGTTTTTTTGGATATAGTTAATGGGGTGTGGTACCCCTCTAACTGTGGCCGCCACAGCTTTTAGAGCTGCTCAGAGCTCAGCTTTAGCTTTTCATATTGTCATTATTATCAGATCACCCAACTACGACCCCCTCCCCTTTTAACTCCTCAAGGGCCGCATGCACTAACATCCCTGCGGCGAGGGGAGCGGCGTCCCCAATGATGAAGAAGCCGCAGCCAGGGCCCGGCACGAGGTTGTCAAATGACAAGCTGAAAATCGTTTTCGGCAAAAAATGCAAAGGGGAAGTCGTTTTTGAGAGGTCCGGGGCGGAGCCTCGGAAAAAAATTGGTAGTTCATGCTCGCTGCTTATCTTAACATGTTATGTGCCTCAACAGGCGAATACTGGAGTTCGCGCGCGTCAAACTGCGCCGTCGCTAATTGCCGCACGCGCGACGTCGCTCAAGCGATGCTATTTGTAACAGCATACATGACTAGTTCTCAATGTATGTGTAAAGATATGGCACCAAATTTTGTATGCGAACGGAGAGAGGCTAATGGAAATAAACTATGAAGAAATATGAAAACTTATGTGAACGGAACGAGTAATTAGCATTTTTTCCAAAAATTTCGCAAAATCGGTAAATGAAGATGTGAATTCAAACGGCTCGTTTGGAACGCGCAGATGACGATATGTTATGAAACTTGGTAAGTACCTGCACACGGACATGCAGGGCTTAACTGAGGTGTTTCATTGAAAAATTATGTGACTGAAGGTTGTGGCAAACTTTTTTCTGAAAATTTCCCGCTAACAAAGAAACGGAAAAATGGCTTGTTTGCAACGCAGAGGCGACGAAATTGCGCGGGATTTGGTGTGTATCTGCGCAGTAGGACTAAGCAACAAAGTGTGAAATATTATGAAAAACTTATGTGAATGAAGAGCGTGCTTAACTTATTTCCAAATTAGCTTGTCATTTGACAAGCTAATGACAAGCTGAGCTTGTCAAAACTCTCAGTTCACATAATTTTTTCAAAATTCTTACATAAATCTACTCTACGCCTAGAAATTAGTATAAAGTGAAAATTTGGTTTCAAAGCTCCTCCTCTCCTCATTGCTAGAGGCAAAAATAGCCTCAGCAGCCCCGTTTTCTAAGTAGGAAAGCGCGCTCCAATCGATAACGGCGTCGCTGGGCCAATCGATAAAGGCGTCGCTGGATTTTATAATCGGCGTTTTTCAGTTTTTCTCACCATTTTCGTGTCAGATTCTATTTAAATGAATAGAAGATGAGTTTCTTGTCATTTGATTGTGCTTATCCCAATCATGTTTACATTTTTCGCCGCCTTTTACTTCTCTTTTCCAGTTTTCTCACCGTTTTTTTTTCTAAATCGCCCAAATTGAAAAGAAGGTGAGTGTGTTGTTTCATTTACTCGTGTATGATGTAATTTGCATGCCTGTTTTTTATGCTGTTTTGAATGTTGCTACGACTCCTAGCTCTTCCTTAGGGGGCATGTGCGTCGTCAAAACTCGTTTTTTTTAAATTTGTGCTTCTTTTGCAACCTAAGTATGTTTATTTATGTCACATTTATACTGTGCATGAACAGCGCTGCTCTTCCAGTGAGTTTTTGACCTTTACTCGCGTTTTATTGTGACATAGCCAAGGTGGATGAATTGAGATGAGTTTTTCTTCTCATTTCTAAGTGTTTTGCGTTTTTCACCACTTCTACTCTTTCTTTCTTGTACCTATATCTTACCTTCATTTTTTACTGCGTCATATTCATCTCCATTTTTGTCGTTCTCAGGGTTACGCATCATTCACTCATCTACTTTGTGAGTAAGAGAGTTATATGATGATGTGACCTTTGAAGCGAAGCTGCTCTTTCTTTCTCACCTTCCTTTCCTATACCTTTCATCAAAAATCCATCCTATTGCACTACATTCAGAGTTTAGGGCATTTTCAAGGTTTTGCGTGCTTGAAATCATCACAACAGTCACTGCGCTGCTGCCGTTGCGGCGGCGAGCGTCTTCGCCGTTTTTTTTTCTCCAATAAAAACTTCTATGGGTAAAGTGTTCGCTGCGCAATCACTGGGATCAGTTTGGGTCAAATGGGCATTCGTAAAAAATTTTTGGGGTCAAAGGGGAATTCGTTCTCGAAAACGCCTTTTGACAACCTCGTGCCGGTCCCTGGCCGCAGCGGCGTCCGCACGCGGTCCCTTCATAACGGGGGACGCCGCTCCCCTCGCCGCAAAAATGTTAGTGCATACGGGCCCAATACGACCCCCCAGGTGTGGCGTGCCATACCCCACGCTTGACCCTGCTCGTAAGTGATGTTTGTGCAGAAAATTCAGCACTCCGAAGGAATTTTTTTGAACGACCAATCTGAAAATCCTCCTCTGAAAATCCTACAAAACGATATCCACTGTCCGTGTAGCTCATGTGGCGAGCTCTCTACGGTTGCTAGAGTATGGAGAGCTTTCGCTAAACCTTTGATTTCGTTATAAACTTCACTAATAATTGGCTAATTAAAAGAATGATAATCTGTTGTCTTGGCTAAGCGGTGACTGACCCAACTACTATGCATGGCCTTTACATTCGCGAACTTAATGCCGATTCATTGCACGCAAAGACTGGACGGCGTTACCAACTTAGTGAATGTTAAAGAGAGGCAGCAGACAGTTAGAGAAATTGAGGCCCATTTGATTACAGAGGTGGCTCACAGGCTCCGCAAGACCTATCTTTGCGTGCAATAAATCGCCTATACGTCCGCGGATGTGAAGGCCATGCATAGTAGTACGGGCTCGTCACAGCAACCAAAAATTGGCCTTGTCTATGCCTTCAGCTTGCAACATGTGCAAGAGCTCACTACACTGCTTAGTGTGCACAGTGACTTTACTTTACCAATCCAAATACAAACAGAAACTTTCAAATACAGCGCTAAAGCTTCGTGACATATATGCTATTGTTGTCACTGGCGTTCAGCATAACTGAAGCGTAAAATTGCTTGTAAAATAGAGGGATTTCCAAAAGCATATAGTGCCCATTTGAACGAATTGATATTCGAAGTGAGTTTGACGGTCAGTTGTTGCCATACGCTATTTCTGTAATTGTAAAGTATAAGAAACGACTCCACCTAGCCAGGCTTCGAATGGTCTTACCCACTAGTACTGCGCACAGGTACACTTTTTTGGCTAGATTTTTCAAACGTATCAAAAGCGAAATAGTACAAGAACTCACCCCATATTGATATTATAAAACACAGTCTTCAGCAAGAAACATGCACTCAGCATGAGGAAATTTACTGCAAGACGAGTCTCTTTGCTAAACTTCCATCTCTGAAAATATGATAATCACCATCCATAAATGATATCAGAGATCACATGCAGATTGTGTTGCTCCATTGCCATTAACAACAACGACCATCTGTTTACTGGACGGTCTCAAAGTGAATACCTTCCAAACAATAAGGCTGTCAGCAATGACCACAAATGTAACGCAGATTATCTGTTCAAAAAATCAAGCAGTATTGAATTTTTCCTGATTCAGAACATGGTACTTGCAGTATCAGGTTTAAAGAATTGTATAGATAGGTGTACGGCTTGTTGAAGTCAAAATACCAATAATGACCATTAACAAGATAGATATAGCCAAAATAATCCGTGAAAAATGGCACTAAAACATATTTTTTATCCTCACTTGCCTTGTTTTGTTTCTAATGACACTTCCCAAACGTCGATCCCGCTAAATTTTAGGAAAAAATGATATGCGAACTTTTTTTTTACTACGCTATAAATTGAACAATTCTGTACATCAGTGAAGGACTGAGGGGAAAGAGTGCTTACAGCAAATTTTGTGACTCTTAGTATGCTTACAGCATACTAAGAGTCACAAAATTTGTGCTTGTGACTTTTCACTGGATAATCAAAATAATTAGTAAAGATTACCGGAAAATCAAATCAACTTATTTTGGTTGCATAAGGAATAAGTATTTGCAACCCAGCATAAAAAATGCGAAGCAGAAAGGAGAAAGGTTGAAGAGTTAGATCTTATGCAGATACGTCCTGGACACCGGCAAATGTAAGAGGTATTTTTCAGGTCTAAGAATTATCAGGTCCTTCTAATTCATTTGGCTTTGGCGCCTTTGGTGTAAATAAATTATTATCATTTATTATTGAATCACGAGACATATGCACAAAAAAATGGATCCAGAGCTCAGTAGAGGTGACGATTTCACACGCTGGATGTCGTTTTTCAAATAGGGAGCAGGAGGGAAGTTTCTATGGGGGGTGGGGAGGGGGGAGGGAGAGGCCTCGGGTCTGACGAAATATCAACTATATAATTCTTACTCTTACAATTTAGTAAGCCCGAGTTTGAGGCAGGGTTGAGCGTGGGGTCAGGCGCGCCCGACCTGGGGGGTCGTACTGGGGTAAGACAGAGGGGGGGGGGTCGTGATTAGGAATCGAATTCGTTCGATTGAGGAGATACTACGATTAAGGTGAAGAAGAAAAGCGCTAGTTTAGTGGATATCGCGACCTCACCAGTACTGAAGGAATGAACGGTCTAAAACAGCATACTGATTGATTCCACAATCGAAGTTTCGGCCAAAACTCAAATCTTCATCTTCTAATTTGACATATTATAAATTCATCAAGGAAGCTTGCTGTGTGAAATGGGTATCATTTCCGAGCACGTCAAATTACCTCTATGAGCCCTACAAACCATTATTTACTGCATTATCTAGTGTTTCTCAACGACTAAAAAGCGTGATCTTCAAACATGATTAACTTGTTTTCAAAAGTGAGAAAAGTCAATTTTTTGTACTCGTAACAAAGTATTGTTCCCTACTAGTCTAGGCTAAAAATCGCGCTTTGTATCGCTTGCAAGTAGTTCAGTAAGAAATAATGCCAAAATTCCGACCGGCGCGTTTTTCGCCATGACTGCTTCAACTCCACGGATTACCACAAGGCCGAAACAAGTCGAATCAAGTTCAAATACTTACTGTGGAATCTTCGAGGGTTGTGCTAGCGATTCACATAAGACTTGAATAAAAAAGCTTCTTCAATGATAAAGTTAATCGGGTCAGGCGCAACCCCACAAAAGGTCAGGCCGCCTGAGCTTTTGAGGGGTTGCGCCTGACCCGATTAACTTGTTTTCAAAATCGCTCCATTTCTGCTATAAGTATTGAACTCAAAGACTCTTCTTGCAATACTGCAAATTTGGAGCCAAACAATACACCCCTGTGGGAATTATAGCTCTAAAAGTAGGGCTATCCAAAATCCAAAACTTGCCGTCAAGTTGCGTGTGCTGTGCAATCGCAGAAAGTCGACCTACAGACCTCCAAAAAGCAAAAACCTCCCAAAAACGGCTGATCTCTTCGATTATCACAGCCTGAGGTCCTGGAGGTGAAGCAGAGGGGTCGTTTAGGGTCTTTCACTGGGGGGGGGGGGTCGTTCTGGAAAGACTTGTGCCTGACCTCTTGCTCAACCCTGGTTTGAGGCTCTAACGTCGTTTTGCCATAACAGGTAAAATTAACACGTTACAAACACCACTAGTGCATAAACTTGTGTGCACACGATTTTCAACATGTCAAAACCATGTTATTCATGCACAAAAGCATAAACAATGTTTTATTTGCAACGACTAAGACGACTAAGCAATATTGAGTCAAATTCGTGTATAGCTTTGCAACGATGATCAAAAGAAACGTATGAAAAATTATGAAAAATCATGTGAATAGAAGGAATTGCAAGTGATTTTCTCTTTTACGTTGTTCCCGCGCAACCTGGGAGCACCCACACTTACTTTGCGTCGTACCAAACGAAGTTATAATTCACCTCCCTCCTACTTCACATAAGTTTCGGAAAATTTTACATAAATCGATATTTTGGTTTAAGCTCTAATAAGTACTCAACTTAGCCCATCGACCCTTTACTTTGCTATGGCTCTTGATGATGTAATACAACCTCCCTTTTTCACTCCTCTTGTTCTATCTCTAATTTTCCAGGTTTTTCTTTATTTTGATCGACTTATCGTTCGCTGCAGATCATAAGCCATACTTCCAAAAAACCACAAAAGTCAATCGTAACCTTCTGCAATGCCAAAAGGGACTTCGTTTCCAAGATTCTCAAATGCCATTTCGTGCAGAGCCTGAGTGCACCCCAATTTGAGCCAAATGCATCTTCTTCTCTTTCTTCAGTTTAGACACTAGTCGGGCGATACTATAGATGTCACTAGCGAGCAAAATATCGAGCACGCCATTCAAGTTCTCGGGTAGTGACTTATCAGTGCAAGATCAAATGTATCAAGCATAAGCTTTTCGCAAAGTCTACGTTTTCCAGCAACCCTGTTTGACGCGAGTTTTCATCAGCTAGCTTGTTGTGGTGGGAGTGGATTGAGACTGGAACTGAGGACGAAATGATTCCACCTTAGCAGTCCCCAGGTGGCATCGAGTCGTTAACCTCACGTACAGGAAGCTGCTAAGACTTCATCTTTGAAGGCAGTGAAAAATTGCGATTGCGGGCTTTCCAAACCTACGTGGCCTTCCGGACGGCTGAATCCAGTCCGTACTTAGAATGTCAAAAAAGTGCTTTTACGGCGTTTTTGCAAAAAAGATAACTGGAGGGGATGGGCGACGGATTCGCACCAACATTGCAAATTGCTGCCTGAGCCAATCAGCCAACTACCTCCAAAATGCGTAAAGTTACAGTTTCCTGCAACCAGTCGCTGTACTGACGGGAATCCGTCAGTACAGCGACTGTGCAGGAAACTGTAACGGTTGTTCGTCATCCCCTCCAACTATCTCCACAATGGAAAAACGCCGTAAAAACTTTTTAACTTTCCACGCACAGCACTGGACTCAGGACATCCAGAAGTCATGTAGTTTGGAAAGCTTGCTTCCGGGCCACTGCCTTTGAGCTGTGCGGCATTATCTGCCCTAGCTGAACAAATGTAATTGTATTTCTCAAAATACCGCTTCATATTCTGCTCCGAATAATAACTGGTATGCTTATTACATGTTTATTATTATTGCGTCGGAAATTTTAGGACCTACACTCATATCTCTATTATTCACTCACACTCACTGAGTGCATGTGAGCTGATTCGCTCGTATTATACGCTACTTGTATCAGGCTGAAGCAAAAGTAATGAGCGTTTTTCTTGCCTTTGTTTCAGGACAACTTTTTTCCATCAAAATTTCTTCGGATGTAGCTCACTCTTAAGAAGCTCTTTTCTAGCTCTCTGATGATTTTTGAAACAGCCTTCTAGTCACATTTGCCAAAAATTTACGGAGCTTTACACAACCGCACTCAAAAACATTTCTTTCTCATCTTTATCGAACTTTACTGCACTTTTACTTTACTTCTATTTTTCTGACCAGAAGTCGCGCGCAAACGATATATAATTCCGAAAATTCAGCTTATGCATAGGTGTGCTCTACGCACACTTAATTATATTTTTTGGAAATACCGGAGGTGACATATCGGCATTTCAATATGGGTACTCGTTGCGGTCATACTGTGGCCCATCAATTTCTATTGAAGAAAGTGATCGCCAAGGCTTCGCTCTCTGTAATCGTAAAGGTAAGGCCTCCTGCTGACAGTTTTTGCAAAGTTGTTAGCTGTTCAATACGCAGAAAATCAAAAAATTCCATAACTTCTGACTTTGATGCCTGTGAGAAAGTGTTTAAAAAGGTGACAAAAGGTAGATTTTAATTTTTTTCGCAATTCTTGTTTAACCGAGCCTTTCTCATCTCCATCATCATTTATACTAATGGCTTGCGTCTACAAGATAGGTTACTTATGATTCATACTGAAAAAGTTTGAACGTAAACTTGACGAAAACGAGGTTTCAAAAAACAACTTTTTTGTTCTTTAATCCATATTTTTCTGCCCGCTTGTGATATGACTACAGTTGGATGTGCTTTATATTGCGGAAGGTTTTTTGCTTCTGATAGCCTTTATCGCTTTGAAAAATGTAGATAAAGGAGCTTATAACATGTCAAAGTGAGAACTCGCAAAGCGCTTATTATTTTTGCACTTCAATACATTGATCATCTAATTCCTGCATATCCTTTGCGAACATTCATTGTCTTATTCGTCCAGAAGACGTTCAACAAACTAACTTTACAAACCCACCTGTTAGTAAAAGACCTAACAGAAGAACACCAAAATCAGCCATCCAAAAATGAGTTCCGGAAAGTTTTCGGAACCTCAGAGGCCAGAAAATGGCTATGAAGTGAATGATAGCTAAAAGTGGCAGAAACAATAGCTGCACAAACCACTGCAAGCACTGAATGAGTATCGCTAAATAGGGCATACCAATGACTGGAATAAAACGTTGTAAAATTATTATTTTTTCGCAAGACTACAACAAGTCCTTACTCAAGAAATCTCTGTCCAATACAAAGCTCGGCACATCGTGGACTATCAGAATGAAATAAGAAGTGGTGTCTATTATCATGACAGTGACTATAAGAAGAAAGATATAGTTGCGCAGCACCTCATGAGTTTTCACAGCTGCACGGATGACAAGCAGGTCCAGAAATATGATTATGGTTTGCAGAAAGACGTTTAGCATATAAAGAACCACTATTTCGTGTCCCATCTGCGATATGTTAATCTATTCTTAGTGAATCCTGCAAAGAGTCAAAAAATCTAAAACTAGTTGCCTTATTTCGGCTTCAAAGTGCATATGAAAGTGATGCAACGGTTGGAAGAATCAAAGTAAGGACTTGACGGAAATTTGCTTTTACTTGCCGTAGATTCTAATAATCAACAATTTTTGTTTTGATATGCGCAAGGTACGAAGTAACAACGAACATGTTCATTTGGAATTCAACATGGAAAGAATGTAATAATGCTAAATGATTTATCCTAATCAAGGAAAAGTTTTTACCGTTGATTAATAACGAGAATATTCTAATGTTCGCAACCCACTGATACTACCCATTTTGTTTCTTATAACGATTTCCTCTGAAACTACATGTTGAGGTACATATCTATTCAAAATAGAGCTGAATGTTATAGGTTTTGTTTAGTTTGAGTGAGCACAGTAACCTAGTATTCCTTGCCAGGTACGGAGGAGGTTCAGAAAGCTGATTGACAAACTAGCGTTGAAAGATCGTTTCATATCTCCTACGCATATTTTCACCTATGACTAGTCAAGAAAGGCAGGCAAGCCAAAAATGTTCGATTTACGATTCACTAAAGATTCATAGAAGTTAACAAAAGATCGCGGCTAATGTGTTTTGTTTCTTTTTTTATGGTACAGTTGAATGCGTAGGTAAAGTAAAAAGTAAAGTAAAATAATGAGTATCAACGGCAACATGTAATTCTCAAAAAAAACTTTGTGCTTATCAATCGAGCCACTGGTGCAAGATATATACATTGTCTAGCTGTAGGCGCATGATGACGGAGACAAAGACCAAAGTTCTAGTAAGTTTTCATTATCTGAAAAAGCTTGGAGTCGTAAGTCAAGAACTAGAATGTAGGAGTGTGCGCGTGGGTAGTACAATCCACCTGAGCAAAGCTCAGAGCAGCTGACTGACTGTATCATCCCTCCAACTACTATGGCTGTAGTGGCTCATAAATACACCTCAGCAAACACATCAGCAATAGAATTGCAAAAGATGTCCTTCAAGAAAGATGACTAATGTGAAAATGATAAAAATCCTTTTCTGCATCCCGGTTTCGGGACTAAGAACTACACCGGTAGTGCGACTTCCTGGGTGCCCCCAAACTAGATGTTCTTTCATCAGTACTTTTCCCAGGAAGCCCTTAAGAATTAAAATAATACCTAGGGTATAAGTATGAGAGGAGAATGTTATAAGATACAGATACAGTGACCGCCAAAATGTTGCGGACAAGCCGCCTTCCTTTTTTCATCGCTCATTTTCGGATGGAAAACAAAGGCGAAAAATTGGTTGGGTTGCATGAGATAATAGAGCTCTCCAAGAGCTACATCCCACACATTACGCTATTTGGAAAATATGTATTATAAAAATTTTAAAAATCTTTTTTTCTAAAAAAAGTCCGAAAATGGCCGCGTCACAATGTCGCGGACAATAATTCTTTGAACGCGAAAATTTTCATTCAGGTCTTTTTTGGAGCAAAAACAGAAGTTTTTCTGACAGATAAGCATTCTATATTATAGAGCTCACCGAGGCAATAATCAGGTAGTGCTTACTTCCAAAAAAAACTCATGCTTGAATTTTATTTTGCTTTTTTTTCAAAAATAACTTCTAATTACCGTTTTCAAGCCACAACTTCACAAGGAAACCTATTCAAACATCCTAACAAAGCTAAGATTAAATGGATGCTCTTTGCCATCCTTTCTATGCATCGGATGTGTGCTGGTGAGTTCTCTTGCTGAAAATGGCTCTTGACGGTGTGTGCACATAACCCCATCTGCACCTCACCAGACTTGCACCGTTTTGCAGGCTTGTAGCTCGGCCGCCAGTCAATCTACGAACCTGCAAGTAAACTCATTCGAAAGGGCGTGACTCCCTCGGCACGAAGTTATGCAAATGATTTGAGTTTAGGAAGTTTCGGAGATTTTACGGATAGGGTGAAAAAGCGCAGATTTGAAGATTATTGGAGTGGAAGCTCTTATCAACATCAAAACAGTCTTAAAGCTTCAAAATGGATCCACAAGCAATTTGACAGTTTCAAACTTCTAGGTTGGAACTGGTAGCGAGAGGAGCTCTATTTAACTTTAGCTAAAAAGTCCTTAGTCTACCATTGAAGCTGCGCTTTTTCACCCCATCCGCAAAATCTCCGGGACTTCCCAAACTCAAATCATTTGCAAAACTTCGTGCCGAGGGAGTCACGCCCTTTCGAATGAGTTTACTTGCAGGTTCGTAGATTGACTGGCGGCCGAGCTACAAGCCTGCAAAACGGTGCAAGTCTGGTGAGGTGCAGATGGGGTTATGTGCACGCACTGTCAAGAGCCATTTTCAGCAAGAGAACTCACCAGCACACGTCCGATGCATAGAAAGGATGGCAAAGAGCATCCATTTAATCTTAGTTTTGTTGGGATGTTTGAATAGGTTTCTATGTGAAGAATAGGCTTGAAAACGGTAGTTAGAAGTTATTTTTGAAAAAAAAGCAAAATAAAATTCAAGCATGGGTTTTTTGGAAGTGAGCATTACCTGTTTATTGCCTCGATGAGCTCTATGATATAGTATGCTTACTTGTCAGGAAAATCAGGAAAACTTCTGTTTTTGCTCCAAAAAAAGACCTGAAGGAAAATTTTCGCGTTCAAAGAATTATTGTCCGCGACATAATGACGCGGCCATTTTCGGACTTTTTTAGAAAAAAGATTTTTAAAATGTTTATAATACATATTTTCCACACAGCGATGTGTAGGATGTAGCTCTTGAAGAGCTCTATCATCTCATGCAACTCAACCATTTTTTCACCTTTTGTTTTCCATCCGAAAATGAGCGATGAAGAAAGGAAGGCGGCTTGTCCGCAACTTTTTGGCCTTCAACGCATGTGAAGACAGTGAACACATTAAGAGTCTAACTAGAAGGAATGATGCTCTTTCTTCTCTGCTACACTTAAATACTAATTATACCCGCCCGCGCCATCTGCGAATCCGCATCAACACTGGGCCATGCTTTTTGCACTTCAAACAGCAAAGGTCCATAAATACTATTGATGAATCCATACTTTCTAGAAATGAAAGGTCTGTTTAGAAAAGGGGTGGCAGACTTTATGAACGATAGCGCGCGTTCAGGCAGGCGTGTGTCAATAAGGTGCGCACGATTAGCCCCGCCTATCGCAAGATGGACGGGTTCTCTGCAGTACAGCTCTAGCACTGGTTCATGGCCATGCTCCCTAGTCAATTGAAAGCAACTTCTGATAGTGAGCTATAAGCTTGTTGCAAGCTGGGTGAAGCTTGACTATTTGCAGAATTGCTGCTGATGTGTTGATCGTGAATTTCAAAAGAGTTGCTGTTCTACCAATGAATGACCAAATAACTCCTGGATACTCAACTTTGGAGTGTAGAATTAATCGAAATCACCTCAGGCATGATTGTCTGAGTGACCTCACATCTTACGACAATTTCACGCGAAATTTCGATTGTGTCATAGATCGATTTATTGAGGATAGCAGTTTTTGGAAGCAAAATAGAAGAATTTTGTTAGTTATAGCAGGTTCGAAAAAAATATAAGTGCAGTGTGATCTCCCCTTTTCCTGAAATCTGAAAAAGTTTGTGATATGACCGCATATTTGCAAAGCGAGTGATATCTGATTGCGCGAAACATTACCAAATGTAATAATGTACACAAGTTATTGAAGTTAGTTTGCTTGAGAGAAAAGGGATAATCGTGTTGGTTGTTTTAGCAATGATAATAATATATTTATCGATAAGCTGACTGCTTTTTGAACTAAACTTGAGAGTGCACAATAATCCTACTATAATAACGCGCTAAGGCCGTCTGTTTTTTTGTGTGTCTGTCTGTGTGTCTGTGTGAAAATCTGTCTGTCACGAAATTCATAGAGGATGCTGCAACTAAGCTATCGAGCTGCAATTCTGCATAATATACCGCGCCAGCGTGTAGACCCACTATGCACAGGACAAGCCGGTTCGATAAGCGGGTCCCTCAAAATTTGCGCCTCAAACGGGTCCACGCGCCTTTCGGCACGCAAAACTGGATCGCTAATTAGACTTTTTGCAAATTTATGATTTGCCTGACAAGTAACTCCGCGCGCCATAAATTCTAGCCCAAAATGTGCTCAAAAAGTTTGCTTTTTTGCGAAAACAGCGCCAAAAAGTGATAAACGCGTAGATAATGATTTGGCAAGGTTTTATTTTTAAACTGAAAAGGTTTTTGCATTGAAATATAGCACAAAGTGACTATTATCCTTATGACGATTATCGATCTAAAATAAATTCAGTAATCCTTCAAATTCGCATTTGTTTCCTTGCAACAAGGTTTTTTTTTCTCAAAATTACCGTTCTTACATGGAGATGCTTCATGAGTGAACAGTTGTTTACGATTCATTTGTGATGCTCAGCAACGGGTGGTGAGTTTCAAAGTCATTCTCATGCGAACATGAGAAAGGCATACGGATAGGAAGCCAGTGCGAACCTCCGCGAAGCGGAGGTGACGCACTGGTATTCAATACAGTAATAGGTGTGAATAAAAAAACCTTTTCAAGCATGAAAGA